AAGATCTTAAAATATTTTCTGATTTTAACAGGCAGCCAATGTAGGGAAGCTAAGACAGGAGAGATATGATCTCTCTTTTTAATTCTCATCAGAACTCCAGCTGCAGCATTTTGGACAAGCTGAAGACTTTTAACTACATTCTGTGGACTTCCTGAGAGTAATGAATTACAGTAATCCAGTCTTGATGTAATAAATGCATGAACTAGTTTTTCAGCATCACTCCTGGAAAGGATGCTTCTAATCTTAGCAATATTCCGAAGGAAGAAGAAGGAAATCCTACAAACCTCTTTAACTCATTCACTGCCATTGATGACTAAAGTCATAATTTTAGATCCAACCGTTCACTGCCAATGAAGACTAAAGTCGGCATTTGCATATTTTTAATGTTTGGGCATCGGAACAAGCCCCCGCACCAAGAGAACAAACATCTCAGCTCTGAAGCCGATCTTCATACGCATACGTCACACGTCACATGATCAGGAAGCAGAATATCTGGGGTCTGGGGTGGTGGTGAGGAGTGAGCACCATCTCACCCCTGCCACGAGGACCTCAAGGGATAAACCACCAATCCTGCTCAATGGTCAACTTTCCTCGCGGGGTCACCCATAAGGACAGTAGGAGGGTTAAGAAGCTTTAATTCTGGAATTTATTTATTATCATTGTCATTAAATAGAAGTTGGACAGATGACTTGAAAATTCAAAGTAAAGGAATTAGACTTGACTTGGACTTCCACATCATTGACTTTGGACTCGACTTTGACTTGGTTGTCTTTGAGTTGGACTTGACTTGAGACTTGTCCGGAAAGACTTGTGACTTACTTGTGACTTGCAAAGCAGTGACTTGGTCACACCTCTGCTAGAGAAACCTTACATAAACAAGCACGTGTACACACACAGGTGCTCACATGGTGCTCTCATAAGTATGGACTTGGGCACGTTCAACACAGGTCTTAAGGCTATGGTGGGCACTAAATGCACTGTGATTTATTATCGTGTGATTGTTCAGTTAAACAAGGTTGAATATATATTTCTTCATCAAATTGACGCAGTGATAGCTGGATCTTGTTACGATGTTGTTGTGTCCCATGTTTTTTTTGTTGCTTTTCTTCTTCTCTCTTTTTGCAGGTCTAGAAGCAGATTCATGTTCATTATTGTTTATTTTTGTGGAAACCCCCCCCCCCATCTTTTGTCTCTTCATTTCTCTTTCACCTCAGTCTCCGTGTCTGGTCAGAATTAAAACGCATTCAAAGACAATAACAATAAAGTTTTAAGTATCAGGCGTGACATTAAAAGCAGACGCTTTGATGCTCCACCTGAGAGTAAATCTGTAAGGCTTGTCACCAGCATTCAGACATCAATTCTGTTTGCTTCACAGCCAGACAGGACACAAAAAAAAAATAATAATAATGTATTGATGTAAACCACACCCACTTCCGGTTAAGCTACACTGACTTCTGGGTTAGGCCACGCCCTCTACGAGTACATATACCGATACTTTAGATGGTTGAACAGATACATATATAGATAGTGGTGTACTCGCTCATCCCTTGGAAAGACACACAGGTAGTTCTAGTAACACCTGAGCGTCCATGGCGTCTGAGACTGATGCAACCAGTGTTACAGCAGGACTAAAGAAATGATCAGAAACGGGTTACAGTTGGATGATCTAGGACGGTAGAAGATCGTGACGTCTGAGCGGTGTAGTGGAATATAGTTGTATATTCTTACACTGTTATTAGGTCCAGATATTATGATCAGAAGAGGTTGTTTTTATTTTCAGGGAGTTTTATTTAAACACTTTGTATTGACTCAGAGACAAGAAAAGAGAGAGTTGGGATCATTTAAGAATCTTTAATTTCTGTAATTATAAATTCAAACAATGTCCCAGGACTAGCTCTCTATGGTGGATGCATATGGATTTGAATGTTGAAGTGTTGGTGTGTGTGTGTGTGTGTGTGTGTTCAGAATCTCCAGGCTGAGGCAGGCGGATCTGGTTGTCTGATGTTATGACTAGGGATCACGAGGCTTCAGAAGCTCATGACATGAAACGCCATCTTGTGCCGTGTCTACGTACCGTATGGAGTCTCCCGCGGTCAGATCAGGAATGTCAGGTCCTCGAACCTTCCTTGGTACTGGAACTGATGAAACAGCGTCTGCAGCACGACAAAACCCGTCTGCGGATCGACTCCCGGTAGCAGCGGCAGGTGTCAGCGAGTTCAGCTCTTATTTTGAAGGAACCGTCGTCTTGTTGTTCAAATTTCCAGCTTGACAGTTCTCAGCTTAGTAGAAAATGCATCTGGCCAGTCTGCACTTCTCTTAGCGATGACGAATTGAGAGCTGGTTGAAACTACGTTGAATCTATGATGTAACTCCATTGGAACTCAGATGGAACTGAAGTTAAAATGGCGTTGCTCTGTTTTTATTAACTTAGTTGTTTATAAATCTTAGCAAATCGGAGTGGACAATTTAAATAAACAGCCCAGATTCTGCCCTGCAACAGACGAAAGCTCTGATTGGATGAGAACAATGTGTCATGCGTTTCTATGTTCTGTGGATCAGTATGTCTGGTGCACAGTCCTGTTTATTGATTAAAGTCATAAATCATGACATCTTGATTTCACAGATCAGTCACCTGATTATTATTGATCAACATATGTTTTGATTAGCTTTATCACAAATAAAGTACTTTGATTAATTAATGAAAAGCGTTCTTCTTCTTTCTTCTGTCTCCTTTCCTGGAATGTAAACATTTAGAAACAAGCACCCGACCTTGGCGATTCATGCACGCTGTTACTGTGTGAAGGGGCAGCTGTTAAGGGCAGACAATAGGATCTTAATAACGCTACAGCGGGGAACAGGTGAGCGGACCTTCAGGACGTCCCGCTGTCATGCCATGATGAAACAGATCCACACCAAATTTTGTGTGCTTTCTCGTGGATCACTGTTTAACACGTCGGTTCGGTTTTCACACAATTTTAAATAGTGGAAGCTGAGCAGAACACTAATGATTGTTTTGTAGAGGCTCACTCATTGTACCATCTTATGCTGACTTGCACAATTGATTGACAAGTAATTAGGATGTGTTGAAGAGGTTCTCAGGTGCTGGTAACATGGCAATGCACAGTTATTAGGCCGTAGCGACACTAGGCTGTAGCGACACTAGGCCGTAGCGAAACTAGGCCGTAGCGACACTAGGCCGTAACGACACTAGGCCTTTGTGACACTAGGCTGTAGCGACACTAGGCCGTAGCGAAACTAGGCCGTAGCGACACTAGGCCGTAACGACACTAGGCCGTAACGACACTAGGCCTTTGTGACACTAGGCTGTAGCGACACAAGGCCGTAACGACACTAGGCCTTTGTGACACTAGGCTGTAGCGACACTAGGCCGTAACGACACTAGGCCTTTGTGACACTAGGCCGTAGCGACACTAGGCCGTAACGACACTAGGCCTTTGTGACACTAGGCCGTAACGACACTAGGCCGTAGCGACACTAGGCCTTTGTGACACTAGGCCTTTGTGACACTAGGCCGTAACGACACTAGGCCTTTGTGACACTAGGCTGTAGCGACACTAGGCCGTAACGACACTAGGCCTTTGTGACACTAGGCCGTAGCGACACTAGGCCGTAACGACACTAGGCCTTTGTGACACTAGGCCGTAACGACACTAGGCCGTAACGACACTAGGCCTTTGTGACACTAGGCCGTAACGACACTAGGCCTTTGTGACACTAGGCCGTAGCGACACTAGGCCGTAACGACACTAGGCCTTTGTGACACTAGGCCGTAACGACACTAGGCCGTAGCGACACTAGGCCTTTGTGACACTAGGCCTTTGTGACACTAGGCCGTAACGACACTAGGCCTTTGTGACACTAGGCCGTAACGACACTAGGCCGTAGCGACACTAGGCCTTTGTGACACTAGGCCTTTGTGACACTAGGCCGTAACGACACTAGGCCTTTGTGACACTAGGCTGTAGCGACACTAGGCCGTAACGACACTAGGCCTTTGTGACAATAGGCTGTAGCGACACTAGGCCGTAACGACACTAGGCCTTTGTGACACTAGGCCGTAGCGACACTAGGCCGTAATGACACTAGGCCGTAATGACACTAGGCCTTTGTGACACTAGGCCGTAGCGACACTAGGCTGTAGCGGCACTAGACCTTAGCGACACTAGGCCGTAACAACACTAGGCCTTTGTGACACTAGGCTGTAGCGACACTAGGCTGTAGCAGCACTAGGCCTTAGCGACACTAGGCCGTAACAACACTAGGCCTTTGTGACACTAGGCCGTAGCGACACTAGGCCGTAACGACACTAGGCCGTAATGACACTAGGCCGTAATGACACTAGGCCTTTGTGACACTAGGCCGTAGCGACACTAGGCTGTAGCGGCACTAGGCCTTAGCGACACTAGGCCGTAGCGACACTAGGCTGTAGCGGCACTAGGCCTTAGCGACACTAGGCCGTAGCGACACTAGGCTGTAGCGGCACTAGGCCTTAGCGACACTAGGCCGTAGCGACACTAGGCCGTAACGACACTAGGCCGTAATGACACTAGGCCTTTGTGACACTAGGCCGTAGCGACACTAGGCCGTAGCGACACTAGGCCTTTGTGACACTAGGCCGTAGCGACACTAGGCTGTAGCGGCACTAGGCCTTAGCGACACTAGGCCGTAACAACACTAGGTCTTAGCGACACTAGGCCATAGCGACACTAGGCAGTAGCAACGCTAGGCCATAGCAACAATAGGCCGTAGCGGCACTAGGCTGTAGCAACACTAGGCCGTAGCGACGCTGGGCTGTGAGGGCTGAACGATGCTGCTTGCAGCTTTAATTACTTGTTTTATTTCTCATCATTTCTTGTCGCACACAATTTCTTTCTTCTCATTTATGTTATAAAGAATCCAATTCTTTTGGAGGAGTCACCATTTGTTGTTTACTTAATTGGTTTGGCAGATGAATAAATAGTTTTTCATTCTTTATCCAGGGGGAAACGCTAACAACTGAGTATCGAGCTCAATCCTCCAAAACCACCCCTATCAACCTCACCAACCACTCCTACTTCAACCTAGCTGGGCAGGTAAGGACCCCTGTTTCCCCTAGCCAATGCTGTATTTTTTAAATTTGACAAAGTATTTATGAAAATGATGCACAAGGACATAGAAAATGTAAAATATCTGATATGTTGGGCCCATTGAGGTCCATTTCATTTTAAGAGTTTGTTTCCCCTCAACTTTTGTCTGTTTTTATTTTTTCATATTTCTGTCATTTTTAATCTAAAGCAGTGACGGCTGGTGATGAAACTTCTTGGTTGGGCTTTGTGTGAAAGTATTTCCTTTTAGTCCATAATAATTACCGTTCTCAGTGGCCTGGTGGTAGAGTGTCCGCCCTGAGATCGGGAGATCAGGGTTCGACTCCTGGTCGGGTCATACCAAAGACTTTGAAAAAATGGGACCCAATGCCTCCCTGCTTGACACTCAGCATTAAGGGGTTGGATTGGGGGGGTTAAACCACCAAATAGTTCCCGAGCGCGGCTATGTCTGCAGCTCACCGCTCCCCCAGGGGATGGGTCAAATGCGGAGGACAAATTTCGCCACACACACCAGTGTGTGTGTGACAACTAATGGGACTTTAATCTTTAATCTTTAATAATTAACGGTTGGAAAATGACTACAATTCTTTTTTTTTCCCATTCTCTAAATAAGCAGTTAGTCATCTGATAGTCAATAATAAAATTTACAGATAAATTTGGCTGACAATGATAATACTAAGATAAATACACAAGCCAACCATGTAAGGAACTGCAGTCCATGATGTCCATTTTTGTCCTATATTACATTTTATTTTGCTTTAGTAGTTTATTTATTAGGAAGTTCACATTACACAACACAGTTTACATTTATAGGCAACCTTCCTTTTTATAACGTATCACTAATCTAGAAACCCACGTTTCCCACCCCTTCCCCAGTGTCCACCAGTCAACCCATCTTATTCCTAAACCGAAGGAGTCTCTTGAGGTTATTTATTAAGTAAATCCAAGATGCAATAGTATCCAATGTTTCTTTATTGATCCTTGATGATGAAAGTCCTAAACAGGAGGATCTTTCGTTACTTCAGTGTTTATGTTCCTTGCGTTTCACCATGAGATTGGGTAGCAAAGAACAGTGTGGTTTGCCTATAAATCAATTGTTTTGCACATTTGGAGGAAGATTTAAAGAAGCAGATGGTTCAGTCTTGTTGTGTGGTTGATTGTTTGGCCCATTGGAGGCTTGATAAAATGGTTTTCTTGGAATTCCCTCCGTAAAGGGCTGCGAAATATGAAAGAGATGATCGCGGATGACCGCTGACTACAGCTAACCGTTTGTGGGGCTCATTTTATTCATGGTAATTCCTTGTAACTAAATATTTGTTATGTAGAAAATATGTTGTCAAAAAATGTTGTGTATTTTAAAATCCAGTTATATTTTTTCATGTTCATGTTCTGATTCAGGTGTCCCAAACCGCGATCACTTTCCCAAAATAAAAAAAACATGGATTAATGAAGACTTACCCAGCTTTGAAGCCGCAGAGATTATTTTTCCATCTTCTTAGGCAATCACCCAAGGATGATGTGAGTCATGCTGTGACTCTGCTGGCCAGACCTGACTTCTGATTTTAGCATGAACGCAGCTTTCTGTTTAGCAGAAGAGATCGGCCAACAGTCCTTGAAACAAAATAATTGAGGGACTCCAGACTAGAATGTCTTTAATTTTTCATGAGTGAAGAGTTCAGGGCTTTCTACTAAATAGGAAAAAATGTCTCCCTAGCACGTTTGTGGCCAAGGCACAATCAAAGCTTTTTGTCATCCCAGAGCTCAAATGGGCTTTGAATATCTTCAGTTTTATTGTCAATACAGATATTAAGCTTCTTTCTAAACCTCCTCCTGTCCTCAGCCGTTAAAGTGTTTATATATTGTGTTATATATTTTTATGATTATTTCATTTGTATTAATGCTATTTTAGTTAAAAGGGGCAGACAACATAAGTTTTTCTTCTTTCTGTCCCCTTTTTCATTTTGGCTTGCAGCAATTTAGTTCTAACTGTATTTTTATTTTAATGTCAATAAATGAAAATAAAAGATTAAAAAATATATATATATACATATATATATATATATATATATATATATATATATATATTTTTTTTTTTTTGTTCCACAAATTCTCTTGAAAGTGTTTGTCACATATTGATAGCAGGCCATTTTGTGTGTGTTTTGTCACCCAGCCTCTCGTGCATGCACACAAATATGTTACCAAAGACCGTTCTATAGGCAATGTCCTTGTATACTCAAAGCCAGTGTACTAAAAACAAGTTGTTAGGCACCTTCCATGTTTAAGCTATGAATTTCTTCATTACAGTCAATCCTGCAAGCCAAGGGGGTGAAAAAACCAGTCAATATCTGGAATGGACACCATTTGTCTCACATAGTTCAACACATCTTGGATGCATACAGTTGATCAGGTTGTTGAGTGTAGCCTGTGGAAAGTTGAGTTGAATGGGAGAGTGAGGAAACCCACCCAATATGGTAGTGATGCTGGATTACCCTCCACAAACTTGAATGAAAGACATTTAGAACTCGTGTAATTTTCATGATGTTGTTATGAGGTTAAATGTTGGACTTCTGATTTTGGCATATGTGCCACATAGACATGAATATGTACATACCCAAGGCCGGATTAACCATATGGGCAACTGGGCAATTGCCCAGGGGCCCACGAACTCTAAAGGGCCCAGGGCAGCAAGGGCACGAGCAAAATACTGTGTCTGTAATCTCCCACTTTATATTAAACTAGGGTGACCATACGTCCTCTTTTCCCCAGACATGTCCACTTTTCACTCTTTGTCCGGGGTGTCCAGGGGGAGGTTCTTGAATTGATGAAAATGTCCGGTTTTTCATCTAGGAGAAGGGATCGAATTATGGGGGAGCTGGATATCCTACACATCCAGGGGAGTCGGAAAACATTTTCTACCTATATTACATCATTCATGGACTCTTTTGAGCAGAGAGCACAGATGGCGGGTCGTTGGTGCGCAGAGCTCCAGGCTGCTGTGTCCAGCGCACGGTCCATTCTCAAAGTGGCGCAACCAAAAAAACTATAATTAACACACGATCGTTCATGTCCACACGTGTTCTCTTCTTTCTGTCTTATTTGTGCCTGAAGCGCTCTGCTATTGTGGAGCTCATCACCTGTGCTGCAGTGATTTCACCTCATGGACGCAGTATCAAAATGCGCACTCCGCTTTGTGGTCAGGAGATCCCTTTGATCTGCTCAAAAGTAACTGATGAGGTGAAAAAGTAAGAATCCAGGCAGCAGTTTTTTGGAGAGTTTAGAGGAGATGCAGGAAGATGAGAGACAGACAGGACAGGAAAATAGTTTAATAAAAACAAGAAAACAAAACAAAGTGTTGAAAAGTAAAATGTGGGTGATTATCTCCACTACACGTTTTTACCTGTATGAAACAATAAGTTATACACATGTAATATTTATACATCTGATACAATTCAGATCACCTTCAAAACTCAGTCACACACCCAGGGCCGTTTCAAGGCATTTGGGGGGCCAAGGCAAAATGAGCCAAAAACTTGAACTCTCAAGTCAAACTTAATTTTTCTTTCTTTTTCACACTTTGTCCATAAGGGAACAGCGGACATTTATGATCACCAAGTGTCCATCTTTGCGGAGTCTTACCTGCCAGTTGATGAAACATCTATTCCCACTGGTAAGAGCCTTGTACTGGTCCTCTACCACGGTAATGTGAAGGCAACTATCATACAGTCCCAGTCAGTCCCAAGTTTAGGACCACTTGAAACATGGTAAAATAATATTTTAAATGGTTGGGTCTTAGCAAAATTCCAAGTAGAACTTCAACTTATATCAGGAAAAAATGTGAGTGTAACAATCCACCCAATCAATCAATCAATCAACCAATCAAAGTTTATTGATAGAGCACTTTCCACAGCCCAAGAATGTGACTGGAGTTCTTTACAGAAAGGAAAAACACAACAGAAAAAAAAATACAGCAGTAAAAATATAACTTAAAACATAAAGACACAAGAACCATTAAAACAACATAAAAAACTTTGGCAAAATAGTCATGTTTGATTACAACCGCACCAAACATTTTCTGTTAGGTAGTCACACTGCCCTGATGGCAAGGGCAAAAACAAAGTTTCCTTTTTGAACGTAGTAAAGTTGTTGAAAGGCACGAGCAGGGCCTCTTGCAGCATGCCATGGGTGCTGAGGTGGAATGAAGTAAGATTATCCTGATGGTTATGGAACAAAAAAGTCAAGTGGAAGAACCAAAACACTCTCCAGCACTGAACTGGAGGATCCAGTTGGCTGTGGGTCAAGACACTGGATGAACCTCGAATCAACTTAAGGTCGTTACGGGGGCCAACCGAAGCACCATAACCATCAGACGGCATTTGAGACTGAAGGGCTTCAAAAACAACAAAAAAAAATGTCTTCAACAGCCTTTTCTCCTTGTCTCCGTGAATGCCACATAACTGACTGCTTGGACTTTACAAGACAGCACCAAGCAGGACATGGAAATGTGGAAGGAATTTTAATTCTCTGATGAGAAGACACATAACCTGGATGGAACCTTGAGGGTTCTGGTGGTTTCCAACGTTGCTGGCACCACAAGCAGATCCCACCTGAGATGTTTTTTACGCCACAGTGGAGAGGGCACCATAATTGAGGACGCCCATCTGTGTGGTAACCACTGGGTTTTCAACAGGACAACGCTACAAGGCAAAATGCACGCAGGACAAAAGACCTCTTCCAGGAGAACATATAACAATAATTTTTGAAGAGTAAGAATGTTTTATTGTCATCATGTGTACGCATGACAACATTGTGTTGGCAGCCCTCAGCTTGCAGGCACACATTGTCAAAGTCTGAGGGGAGTGGCCTCCTCTAACTGTCATGAGAGCTCTATTGCAGGTGGGTAGTCTCGAGGAGCGGGCAGCTGAGACCAATTTCACCATCAACTGGCCGGGGTACTTATGGAGGAGTGTCAGACAAGAACAACTCGCCAGATGATTACTTAACTTAGGTATTGCCTTCCTTGGGTGTCGCTTGCCACTTGCTGAGTTTTTCCGAGTTGCAAGTGAAGTCTCTTGTTCTCCAAGTTTTATATGATCACCTGTTTGTCTCTCTCCTTGTCTCCAGGATACCTGCTTCCCCTTTCACCTCTCCAGCCATAATCTTACGAATTCACTCCTGGACACTGCCTCACTCCTCCTACCTGACCGACCCTCTCTCCACCGCTCACCTGTCCCCACCCTGGACCTAACCTTCCCGAGGACACCCCCAGGATCTCCTCCCTAGAATGGCCCCCACCTTCAGACCTGACCTTTTCCCCCTTTCTGGATTCACTGGTCTCTATCTAACCGGAAACCTGAACCTATGTTCACCCATCCTCTTCTCTTCAGCTAAATACTAATTTGTCTCTGTTTTTAGACCTCCCTGGATCAGCGCTTCACTCCCAGTATCACCTCCTTTTACGATGCTCCTTAAGTTCAAATAAACCTTTATTATTATTTTACTTACTCAGTGTCGTGTGCTGATTCTGTTGATGTGTTGGATCAAATGCCTCTCCCAAAACATGACACACATTTCTATAGTAAAAAGATGAAACAATAATAAAAGCCGCACACAATTTTAAAAATGACGAGAGTAAAGCCATTTTAAACCAGACAGAGACACACAAATGGACACTGATTGCACTGATCAACCCATCATTTGGTAATATTGCACTTCAGTTATCGCACAGGGATGATTCACAGCAAACAGGGACAGTAACAGTAGCAGCATGAACACGCAAAATGTACGTTTAAAATGCATAAATAATGAAGTGTTGAAGCTGAATAGCCACTGACTAACCCGTCTCCTGTTAGAGTTAGAGTTCTAGCAGCCTCCAAGCAGCATTGGAGTGTGTGTGTGTGTGTGTGTGTGTGTGTGTGTGTGTGTGTGTGTGTGTGTGTGTGTGTGTGTGTGTGTGTGTGTGTGTGTGTGTGTGTGTGTGTGTGTGTGTGTTGTGTGTGCTTGGTGCGTGAGTGAAAAAGAGACAACTAAAGCATGGGAGTTGGCTACTCGGGTCTAATGTTCACCTGTTCCCAGGAGAGATCAGGTCAGTGGAGGGCACACCTTTTGACCTCAGAGGGGAAGTTCTGATTGGTGCTCGACTGAAAGAAGTTCCTGGTCCAGGGTTTGACCACAACTTCTGTCTGTCTTCATCTAGCGATAACTGGAAAGAAAGATATGCTGCAAGGTTGCTACAGATGATTGTTTCTAACCATTCTTTTTAATATTTGCATCATAGATAATGTACAACTTTCTGAAAGGAAAATTTATTATTCATTTCAGAGTGTGTCACCCACTCAGTGGGCGTGTTTTGGAGGTTTTTACCAGCCAACCAGGAGTCCAGTTCTACACTGCCAACTTCCTGGATGGCTCTATGATGGGAAAGGGTGGTTCTAGGTACGGAAAGCACAGCGGCTTTTGTCTCGAGACCCAGAACTGGCCTGATGCTGTTAATAAGGTATGTGGTGTGAAAAGAAACTGTCTTGTATTGGATGGAAATCAGTGATGTGTTTTTTGATTTAAAGGTGTAAATAGGTAAATAATACATTATTAAAATTATTTAAAACTAATACTGGCCTTAAGGAATTATGATAAATCGGTAGCATGTTTTTAACAGGCAATAAAATATTTTAGTCACAGGTTTTCCAACTTTTCCTTTTTACAGAAAACAAAATTGACCTCCTAGCTGGCTGGCTTCACCCAATAAGCCATGGCTCAGGGTGAAACTGTTGAGGGTTGAGTGGTTTTAAAAACAGTCGAAGGCAGGCTTTTCCATCAGACAGCGCTGGGTCTTTAATCAATCAATTCTGCTCATAACATACAAACAGCCTTTTGGACCAAAGACCTAAAGCAAGAGGACAGCACTTCATTTATACCCTTCTGAAGTTTGTGTGCTTGATACTCGAAACAGAAATGTTCTGTTTTCCCAAAACTCCTGATTTCCAAACGGCATTACAGCAGAATCACTAGCTGTCGGCCTTAACTTGGCAGTTGAACTCTGAGAATCAATAGCCCTCTTGTTAGAAGTCGGGACCTCCGGTCATTAATTTATCTGATAAACAGTTCTCGTGAGCAATGTAATTTAGCTCTGATTGGGAACCGGCTGCAAAAACAAATTTCCTTCAGAGCTGATGGGAAAAACAGCACAGAACATTTCTGTCAAACAATCAGGCTTTCAAACCAAAGATTCACAATTCAGCTCTATACTTTTTGTACAGATGACCTCCTGACCTTTATGGCCACTACAAAACAAATGAAGCTAGTCTGAAACATTTTTTTTCATGCTTCTAAACAACATTCTCAACTTTACTCAACCTTTATTGCTAAAGCACCTTTCAGGCACAGTGGGTGACAACGGAGCGCTGTAAGCGAAACAATAAAATAACAAGATTTAAAACAAAAATAAAAAAGTAAAACAACATGCAATAAAAACATACTAACAGCCAGAGGTAAAGGTCAAGTCAAATAAAAATGTCTTTAGCCACCTGCAAACCGGAACTCCAAGAGATTCCACGATTCAGAGTGCGTAGACTAAACAATGGCAACAGAGTGGTTGATACCTTGTTAAATTACATCCAAATCTATTTTATAAACCCAAACATCACACCTTTCTGAGTCACTTAGAAAAACTCTTAAACATACATGGTCATGTTTCATCAGAGTTCATTCATTGTATCAACTGATATCACTGTGAATCAACATTCATAATCATTTGCCTTTCATCATCATTAATATAGTAATAAATTGATTTTTATAAACTATATTTTTGTCTCTGTGTCAAATTATCATGAAGTGTTGTTTCTCTGGATTAACCAAAGTACCTAGTGTCATCATCAATCAAATAATAAAGGCTCAAAAATATTGGCAATCAATAATTTTATGGAATATTACTTTTTATTGAATACCTTTATATTGTATTGACAATTTATTAAAAGTAACCACTTACAAATTGTTTCATAATGGCGAACCAGCCAGTAGTCCGGGAGTCTATTTTATCCTTAACTCATTCACTGCCATTGACGACTAAAGTCGTCCTTTTAAATCCAACCTTTCACCGCCAGTGACGACCAAAGTCGTCATTTGCATGTTTTTATTGTGTGGGCATCAGAACGAGCCCCTCTCAGCTCTAAAGCCGATCTTCATACGCATACGTCACACGTCACGTGATCAGGAAGCAGAAAATCCATGTGTTAGGAGATCGTTTTGGGCCGCTGCTGTAAAAAAAAGTGAGGCGCGAACCGGAAAAGCTTCTGCCAATTACAATTCAACAACGGATTTTGAACGAACGGATATCGCTTGAAACGTGCAGATTCTTCCGGATGTGAGAGGTAAGTCTCCGCAGTGTTTTGGTTGTTTTGGCGTCGACATCATCCTAGCGCACAAAGTTCTGTGACTCAAAAAAACAGTAAAAGCGGTGAGAAACTTTGGCAGCGAAGGGCTTTACCGATCAGGAAATGGCTGGCAGCGAATGAGTTAATCCTCAAAAAAAGAAAATGTGTAGAAATATGGAAGCCAATTTTGCTACTCAATGCGGACATTAAAATACTTGCAAAAAATTCTTGCAATGCACTTGGAAAACGTTGAGCACAGCAACCCACCACCCCAGACCCCAACCAGATGGCCAGATCTCCCTCCTAGCCTCCAGCCCCAGGAAGCCAAGCAACAACAGAGGTGTGCTAAGACCCCTAGTCTCCCTCCACCTGCTCCAATATAGTGTTATGTGTTGATGAGGTGTATTCCATGGCTGTGGTGAGTGGGCAGTGCGGGCATTGTCTGGCCTATGCCAGCTGATGCCACCGCACCACCCCACTTTCTGACATTTTTTTCATTTTCCCTCGTTAAGTGCAGCAGCCTATGATACATGAATACGACGTGTCACATGACACATTACTTAACTCAAGACCGCCACAATGTTTACCCAATCAGTGTCGCTTATGATTTTGTCAGCCAATACAGTTGAAGAATATTCCTGCATGTAAATTTAAATAAAATCATTTATTTTTAGCTGGCCAATGGGGGCCCTGAACCCCCGTGGGCCCCCTAGGCTTAAGCCAAATCAAGCCTGTGCATTAATCCAGGCCTGCTAGTGGCCCACCCTACATTTGCTCCAGTTGGGTTTGGAGTGAGGGACCCAACCATTATGGCCACTGTTGCGCTCTTTAGCGCCCAATGGGCATGAATCTACATATTCATGTCTATGCAAGCAGCAGCCAGGGGTACTTGTCCTGTTATGTCTAAAGGGAGAAAATGTCCGCAACTGAGAGGAAAAGCAGTAGATGTGACGATCTAAAAAGTATTTGCTTGGTGAGTACACATCTGGGGGATTTTTTGAGGTGGATAACGTGAGCCTTATGGGTGTGGTGACTATAGAAAAAAGGTGTCCATTGTTCCAAGAGGTTCCAAACATCTTTCTAAAGCTTTGAGTTTTCTATTACAGAAAATATATGGAAAGAAAATAATATACGTACCTAAAATATTTTACAGACCATCCGTTAATTTTACCCGTCAGCACGGTCAAAACCGTTTGCCTCTCAAACAAAATCACACATGTCCCCTTGATTAGGTTAGCATAAAACTTTACTGGCTGAGAGCCACTCAAAAGCGCCTCCATGTGGCAGTTGGCTCCACCACAGGGTTTCTCAAAGTGTTATCAAGGCGGGAGGTGCTGCAGCTCAGCAAATCAAACCGAGCTCGTGAAGCAGCACGCTGCACATTGTTGTCTAATCGTTTTTATTTTCATGAAGTTGTTACATCCATTATGTTCAGTTCGGTGTCCCACCTTGATCAGTCTAAGAAAAACTCTAATAAATACACCTGAAGACAGTTTACCTCCGCTCTATTACAGTAATACATTTTAATGTTTTGATGGTAGGATGATGTAATTTCCTGCCATGTTAACAAATATTACTGCACATTATGCGGATTGTTTATTCTATTAATATTGAGAGGCACACTTTCAAAGTGACTGAGGAGGGGTCTTCAGGTCTACTTAGGGCTGAATGATCTATCAATCTTGGATCAAAATTGCAATTGCAAACAAAGCAATCACGTGATTGTCAAAGCTGCGGTTTTTGTAGCGCTCCTGACTGACCCAGGATCTGTTGTCAACTATTTTAGACATCCGGGGTTTTCCCGTGTTACAGCGGCTGCAGAGAGCGCGGGGAAGAAGGAGGGAGGTATGGGTACTGGAGCTGAGCCCAGCCGACAGAGCTCCACATTTTTTGTTATTTTCTCTTTTTTTTTTCCTTCCGTAGCTCTACTACTACAGCTTAGGGCCTGCACGACTTTATTTTTTTTAAAGTCGACAGTCAAGTAATGAAAGTCGAGTCGACTTCGACTAGTCGTTGATGACGTCATACGCCGGAAGCGGTGGCGGGGGGGGGGGGGGGGGTGTCGGTCGGTAGGTTCGCTGGAGTTTTTGACAATTAAAATTGCGCCCACATTTTCTAAGTTAAGACATCTCTTTTATCAACGGTAGTTTCTGCATCCTACTGCAGCCCTCTCCCCCCTCCCCCTGCGCAGCAGCCGCAAACTCACTGATGCGCCTGCAGCCTTTCCTGCTGCTCTAAACATTAAAATAATTATTAAATAATTAAATAATAATTATTCCATTTTCTGTTCCTCACTTCTGATTACCTTCAGTGGTGTCTGTTTGTTGCAACCAGCAGGTACAAAAACTAACTTGTTTTTATTTGACTATTTTTCTGTCCTGTCTGTTTATTATCTTCCTGCATCTCCTCTCAGTCCTAAAGAAAAACTGCTACCTGGGTTCATATATATTCACCTTTTGAGTTACCTTTCAACTGCAGTTCTAAAAGATCTACCGACCGCAAAAACAGCGGAGTGCCGCTGCTCGCCGGCCGACTACAACAGGACCGTTTTTGCTGCGGAGTTCGTGCCGGAGCGGAACGGAGGTAGTGGAATTTTGGGGGTGCGTCACCGGAGGACAACAGGTGAAGAGCCTCGCTCCGCAGCAGCGAAAAGCATCAGGCACAAATAACAGACAGAAAACATGAAAGGAAATGAGCCGACATGAACGATCGCGTGTTTAATTTGTTTTTGAAGTGGTGACACCTGATTTGGCGGTGCTCAGGACGCAATGTCTGGAGCGCACGTCAACGATCAGAGCTTCGCATGCGCAAACTGGTTAAGATTAGGATGGGGGTGAGGGGAAGGTTAAATTGCAAGAGGGAAAAGGTCACAGTTTAGTTAAATGTCCGTTTTACCGCCGGTGTCAGTACCGCACAACGCGTCGCCTCCGCCTCGATCCAGACGCGCAGGGGCTCATCACCTACTGTCTTTTCCGAGGACTGCATCTTGTCAGTCATTATCACGTGACAGCGACTAGTTGATGACAGGCATAAAAAGTCACTACAGAGCCGTGAAGTCGACTAGTCGACTAGTTCCTACAACCCCTACTACAGCTGATGTTAAATGTGATCGTCTGTCTCTAATGTTCGGTTCGTCTCTCAGCATCGTGGGTGAGTGACCGAGAGAGAGAGAGAGGCCGATTCTCCAGCAGCTGAACGGGATTTATCATAATAACACCAAGTGGACTTGTAAACTCAGCTCTTCTTTTCAAAGCCACTGTTTGTGAAATCACATCGGACATTAACGACGTGTTTCCGATGGTGTTAATATCGTCCGATCAAAAACATCAAATCCTTGGACATATTGACCGACCTGCTTCCTCTTAAGTTGCCAAAATAAAATAAACTCCCTGAAAACCACAAACTGCAGACTGTCTGAAAGTTTGCAGGATTCCATGGCATGGTCTCTGATCTGCAGCAGCCTGCAGGAGCGCTTCTGCTGACCATCTAATGGATCTGCAGACCGGACGCTTTCAGCAGCTTTTTATAAACAAGACCTAACCTAAGTTAATTTTTCATTACTGAAACAGTTGTTCAGAACAAAAACCGCAGACAGAATGACCTTTTAGTGGTTTATTAGACCAATAAACAGCTGAAATTGTCATGGTCTGCGTCCTGCGTCCCCCTCATGTGTCTCCTTGTGTTCTCCATCCCTCTCTAGGTTCCCCTTATGTGTCTCCGTGTGTTCCTCGTGTGTCTCCTTGTGTTCCCCAGCCCACTCCAGGTTTTCCCCTTAGGTGTTCTTCTTTAGTTTATGTGCCCCTTTAGGTCTCCAGCTCCCTCCAGGTTTCCCTCAGGTTCCCCTGTAGTGTTTTCTGATGTAGTAATCCCATCCCTGTTGTTTTTCTTCTGGTGTCTTGTTTTCAGGTTCTAGGAGTTCACTCATCTTAGATTTAGTTTACATAGTCAGTTTTCCCCTCTCAGTTAATTAGTCTCACCTGATCCCTTCTGATTGCTCCCCACACATCTGTGCACAATTCCCTAATCCAGCCCTTGTGTATATAACCCTGTCTGCGTCTCAATGTGGTTGTTGGCTCATTGTTTGTGTCAGCGTTGTCTTGCCCCCTCTCTAGGTATTAGGAATTTCTCCAGGTCTCTTGTGTTTTTTGGATATTCCCAGGTTTGATTCTTGGATTTTTGGATTTTTTGTTTTTGGCTTCCAGCCCCTTTGGATTTACCACCAAAACAAGGGATTTTTTTTACATTTTCACTACTCCTGCCGTGTGTCATCCTGGGTCTGCATCTTGGGTCCTAACCTCACCCCAACTCACAGTGTGACAGAAATAAGTCTCACTGCAGCTCCAGTTTCACTTTCACAACCTCCCATCTCTTAAAGCAGCAGTAGCATTAGTCTACACTCACAATAACCCCTTACAGATCATTATTATATGTATTATCATAGTCATATGTTTCAGAATAATTCCTAATAATTATATAATGAACTGAAATAATTTTGTGAATCATTCTGTTCGTCTACTGTGAGCAGAGGGGCTGTGTAAACCTCATTTTGCAAAAAGCATTGATTAACCCTGCCAGCCAGACTAATAAATATGTTTCTCTTTGCAAAGCAAGAATCTGGTCTAGTTCACTAGGCTACACACTTTTTTTTTTCTAAATTTCAACAGATTGTCACAACAAAAATATGTCTAGCATAAAAAGGTCAGAGGTCACTAAAAACTCACTGAGAAATAGATACTAATGTGAAGCCCACATTTTTTTATAAAGCACCTCTAGAGAAAAATCACAAGTTGCTTCACAAGCACATAAAACATGTAATAAATAATAACTGGAGAAAATTATTAGTTTAAAATGTTTTTATGGTATGATTTAAATAACTATATTGTAAATAATGTGCTGAACCTTGATTTGAAGTAAATCATGGATCAAACTGAAATAGCAATTTCTCCTAGAAAAATCGCAATTCACTCTTTTCCTAGAGTGGTTCAGCCCTAGTTCCACTGTAATTTGACCACAACTGAATGATTTAGTGGCAAAAAGTAAGAATTTAAAAGCATGTTATGTCCTCTTTATTAAATGTCATTTTAAGCTCAGTCAGCTCTGCATCTCAGTGGGAAACATTTGATTTGATCCGACTCATAAAATCATCTTTGTGTTTCAGGCTTCTTTCCCCAATTGTCTTCTGCGTCCTGGTGAGGAGTACCATCATGTCACTCGTTTCACCTTCACTACAGTCTGACCAAACATCGGCTCCACTAATGAGGACAGATTGTGGTTTTGACGTTGGACCAAATAAACTTTAATTTTTTGTTTACGGTGAAACAGTGGATACTTTTATTTGCTGTACTAGAGGCAGAATTTTTGCAGACCAGACAGAATCATCCAAGTTTGTCTGACAGCAGCTGCCTGGCCTTGCTGGACAGTAGAAGAAGTCTTGTAAATGGTAAAAACTGCTTATGGATGCTTATTATCTATATCCCAACACAATCAAATGTGCTTCATCTCCTTTGAGCATTGTAATGCTGCCTGTTTCTTTATTGAATTAAAGTAAACGGTGATGCTTTCAGCGTGTTTTTTATTTCTGACTTGGAGATTAAGACTCAAGACAACTTTATTAGTCCCCGAGGGGCAATTCGACAGCATTGTGAAGCAGCCGGCACTAAAATCTCAATTCTAAAAACACATCCAATTTACACATTTGTAAAACCCATAAAACCTATATACACATTCATGTCATATCTTCACATGTGAATGACCAACAATGAGTAAACCTTTGGCTCACACACACAGACACACACACACGCACACATGTAACTACATGCACGCACACATACAAGTAATGCACACGCCCCCTATCTGCACTGAGAATTAAGAAGAAGCACAGCTCTGGGAACAAAGGAACTTCTCTGTGTTTTACAGCATGGGCATCGAAGTCGGCGTTTGGAGGGCAGCCACTCGAAAACAGTATGAAGAGGGTGTGATGGGTCTTTAATGATTTTCTGTGCTAAACTTCCTGTATGCTGGTCACATTGAGAAGTTAAGCTTCGCAGTGGTAGTCCAATGATCCGAGAGCACACCTTGACGGTGCTTTGTAGACAGTTTCTATACTGCAGGCTGACAGAATAAAACCAACAGGGGATGGAAAATGTGATAACACTCTCTATAAAAGAATAATAGAAAGTCAGTAAAATGTCCTTCCTGACTCCAAATGAATTCAACTTCCTCAGGAGGTAGAGTCGTTGCTGGCACTTTCTGAGGATGTCCTCAGTGTTCGAAACGAATTTCAGGAGGTGATCAATGGTTGTCCCTAGATATTTATACTCTTCAACCAGCTCCACTGGCTGTCCATGAATGATAGTGGAGGCAGCGGTAACCAGCACTCTCTGTTTGTTTGAGAAGGACACCACCATCTCCTTGGTTTTGGTCACATTCAGCTCCAGGCATGCAGTGTCACACCAATCCACAAACTCCTGCAGGACCTGCCCGTGGTAAACAGTAGGGCCTGACAGAAGAGACAGGAGCACAGTGTCATCAGCGTATTTTACCATGTAACTGTCAGGCTGGATGGATCTACAGTCATCTGTGTAGAGAATGAAGAGTAGAGGAGACAACACGCAGCCCTGTGGGGTGCCAGTAGAGGTGTAAAGAAGGTCCGAGAGAGTGTTGTTAACCAGAACTCTTTGTGATCTGTTAGTTAAGAAATCCAGGATCCATAGGATTATCTGATCATCCAGGTGAAAAAGAGAAGTGAGCTTGCCAGCCAGGATGTGAGGTTGCAGGGTGTTAAACGCTGAAGAGAAGTCAACAAACAGCATTCTAGCTGAAGAGTTTGGGATCTCCAGATGTCTGTGTACCATGTCTAAGATGAATGTTTTTGCATCATCAACACTTCTCCCTTTCCGATACGCAAATTGAAGTGGATCTAACTGAGGGTGTAAGGCTCCGATAATGTGATGTTTCAAGATCCTCTCCATAGCCTTCATCGGTAAAGAGGTCAAAGCCACAGGTCGAAGATCATTGAGAGCCTTAACCCTGCTGGTCTTGGGGATGGGTATGACCGTAGAGTGTTTCCAGAGCTGGGGAACTGTGCTTGTATCCATGGAGCTCTGGAACAAGGTCTGAAACACACACCCTAGTTGCTGTGCACAGTTTCTGAGAACTCTGCTGCTGATGTGGTCTGGGCCAGGTGCACTTTTCTCCTTAGTCTGCTTAAGAGCTTTCACAACCTCCTGCATGGTAAATCTGAATCTGAATGCAGGGTTCCCAGGGCTTAATTTAGATTTTATTTCCTGGAGCTGGACGTGATATTGAACAAAAGTAGGTTAGATGTTTCATTCGGAGCTATTTCTCTACTTTCATTTTTTTTACTCATTTTTCCTGATCAAAGCCCCTGACTGCCAGTGTTTTTAAGCATTTTTGCTGTTTTATTCAGGTCACAGAACACTGTGCTCTATGACAAAGTAAACGCCAAACTACCAAAAGAAAGTGTAGGCTTACTTCTTACATCAGGAAGAATCGGTCTGTTTCTAGTACTATCTGTTCTTTCTCTATCCATTGTTGAATTGTGAGCTGCAGAAGCTTTTCCGATTCGTGCCTCGTTTTTTTCACAGCAGCGTCCCAAAACGATCTCCTAATTAATGGATGTTCTGCTTCCTGATCACGACATGTGACACACATGGATGAAGATCAGCTTTAGAGACGTGATGTTTAAGTCTCATGGTGCGGGGGCTTCTTTCAACGCCCGCCCCATAAAAAAATCCAAGTGATGACTTAGTCGTCAATGGCAGTACATGAGTTAAGAGAAACAGTTTTACTTTTTTAAGGTGTGATTCACGGAAAATTTTTGTTATTGTTATTCTGAGTTTTTGATGCAAGCTGAACATGAGAAGAGTCTACCTCCTTCAATAGCTTCTGATAGAAAATAGATGGTGAAACTCTAGGTCAAGCACATCCCAAACATGCTCAACGGGTGACATGTCCGGTGAGTATGCTGGCCATGCAAGAACTGGGACATTTTCAGCTTCCAAGAATTGTGTACAGATCCTTGCAACATGGGGCCGTGCATTATCTTGCTGAAACATGAGGTGATGTTCATGGATGTACGGCACAACAATGGGCCTCAGGATCTCATCACAGTATCTTTGGGCAAGCTGTCCCTGTTTTCTGTAATATCAAACTTAGTGGAAGTAAAATAAAAGTCTCATTATTGCACAAATAGGTTGAAGTGGAAATATGCAGATTCACTGCGGGGGTTAACCTAGCACGCGGGGTTCGAACGATGAGCCCAGCTCACCTGAAAGCGTGGTGGGCTCCACTAGAAGCCCTCAACTTACACATCCATGGGGAGCCTGAAAAAACAGTTTCTACCATATAACAATAATTGTGTGGACCCTCAGCGTGCGCTGGTTGTTGATGCACTCAAGGCAGCTGCGTCCTGCGCATGGCCACAATAACATTCTCAAAACCGCACCATAAAAAGTATAATTAACACACGATTGTTCATGTCTGCTCAAATTCTTTCTGTTACTTCCTGTGTTTTATTTGTGCCTGACACGCTCTGCTCCAGCAGAACTCATCACTTGTGATCCGGTGACATCACCTCACTGGTGCAGCCGTGCAGGGTGCACTTTGCTGTTTTGCAGTTGGTAGATGCCTTTGATGTGCTTAGTTCAAAGGTTACTCATGAGTGCCACTGTCTGCGTGTTTCCCTCCTTCACGATGTTTCTGCTACTCTGCAGGTGAGCATGTCCAGAGAGTGGGATCAGCTGTAGCAGATCAATCAACCGCCATGGATGGAGTATTTAAGGAGCTGGCTTACACAACACGACGCTGGATGATTATGCTACCTGAGCTCTTCATCTCCTCCTTAAGCTGTATCCAAGAACCTCTACCTGCCACCTGGATTCCCGGAGCTTACCATCGCCTACTTCTGTGGACCTTGTTTCTCCTGGAAAACAGTTTCCCCCAAACAGACCGAGCCAGTGCCTCCCCATGCTTTCCACCCTCCTCTGGGTCCATGAGCAACAACCTAAGAAAAAGTTATTCATTGACATTGTTTACCCCTTCTGCACAGAGCCGGATTAAATAAATGGACTACACTAGGCAGGCTGCATCCCCCCCCCCCCCCCCCCCCCCGGGCATTCCTGGGTGTCCTTTTATTGTGGACGGTATAAGGTACGCCTGTACTCATGATGTCGGATCAGCATCTTGATGTGACACACCTGTGAGGTGGGATGGATTATCTCAGCAATGCAGAAGTGCTCACTGTCATACATTTAGACTGATTTGTGAACAATGCTTGAGAGAAATGGCGATATTGTGTATCTGGAATGAATTTTAGATCTTTAAGTCCGCCTCATGAAAAATCGGAGCAGAAACAAAGGTGTTGCGTTTATATTTTTGTTGAGTGTAATTAAAATATTTTGTCCTAAAGACTGTTGTGAATGGAGAGAGAGGGGACGTCAGGTTGTGCCACACACGTTTTTGATTAACCCTCCCACTGTGCTAATGGGTGTGACCCCGCGAGGAAAGTTGACCATTAAGCAGGGTTGATGGTTTATCCCTTTGGTCCACGTGGCAGGGGTGAGGAGTGAGCACCACCTCACCCCTGCCATGTGAACCTCAAGGGATAAACCTAACCCTAACCCATAAAGACAGTGGGAGGGTAAAATATGAGAAGCAATTATCTGACATCTTCTATTTATCAGTGAATACAAATCCATATGAAATAATCGTGATGCATCAGGATATTGAATCGATTTGAATAGTTGACCCAACAATCTTAATCGAATCTGGAGACAAGTGAAGATTCACACCTCTAGTGCAGGAACGGCAGCAGTGTGCATGCACTGTGGTGTTATATTGAAGGCTGATGTAATGAAGCGCCAGCACCCCCCACCCCAAAAATCCAGCAAAATGGACAAACGTCCCGAGTGTGCAGGTAAAAAGCTTGTCATTGGTCCTCACTTTGATGTATATATGTGCACACACACACACACACTTTGTCCACTAATCTCTTTTGCTTGACAGATCCAATGGAAGTTGGGTGTGGCCAGCTTGATCATCACCATCTTCTTTGTCCTGGAGATCCTGGTCACGGTGAGGTCACTTTAGTTTGAACCATAACCCTTTAGGAGGACTCTACAAATTATCTGTAAATGTTTCTTCTTCAACGTCTGCAGGTAATTGGAGATGGATTCGTTTGTGGAGCGATGCCTTTACCTTCTTTCCTGCTGGAATATCTTTAACTGTTGGTGGTCTCCCTGGTGGCCATCCTGTTCATGAAGGTGTTTCCATACAGGCGAGAATCCTGAAGACCTTAAAGTTTCTCCAGCTGTTCTGCATGCTGAGGTCTGTTATTTAACAATGTTTTCTTCTCTGGTTCTGTGAGTTTGTAGTTGCAGGTTTAATGTAGTCATTTGCTTCTTGTGTTTAACTCAGGTTGATGACTGAGGCACTTGTGATGATTAGGGCTTTTGAGTCCCTGAAAAACCTGTTTTAGGCCCCATCTCAGCTGTGGGTACTCTGGCCGTGATTTTTATCTTCTTGTGCACCCTTGTCATA